TTTTCTTTTAATCCAAGCAAAAAAAGAAAAGAAAAAGAAAATGATCACTCCATCACGACCATCCGATGCTTTCCATCTCAGCCGTCGATCTGAGGCATTCGTGCCGCATCCGTCGTTCCTCGACGTGGGTGGGCCCGTCCTTTAACTCTCTAATTCTTGCTTAACAGTTAAATTAAGGCCATCCAATTGGTGACAGTACGTAGCATCGTCCATACGTGAAGGATGAGGTCGATCTCTCTCTTCTTTTGCTCTTCGTTTATATACCCTAACTCGCTCAGCTTCCCTTTCTTCTCTCCAGTTTTCCCCCCTCGCGAACGAAGCATTCAGAAGCCCAGCTGATATCCTGCTCCGGATGACGTCGATGGAGGCACCGGAGTACCTGCAGGGCGGGCGCGGAACACCGCATTGCGCGCCGGAGAAGGGTGCCGGCGGGGACCACTTCGTCGTGGAGGACCTGCTCGACTTCTCCAACGGGGGTGAGGAGGGCGACGACTGGGGGTTCGATGCCGCGGCCGCCAACTCCGCCGACGACTCTTCCACCGTCACCGCCGTCGAGTGCTGCAGCAACTCCTCTTCCTCCCGCCGCGAGCCGCATTTCGGCTGTGAGCCAGCGTTCCGGAGCTTCGACGACGCTTGCCTTTCCGGCGATTTATGCGGCCCGGTAACCCTGCCGCTCCGTTCTCCCCGTTGGTTCGAGAAGGGAGCCTTTGTCTCAGTGCGGAGACTTGTGACTCTCGTGCTTCTCCTCTTCGCTCAAAATCTCAATCGATATTTTTTGGATTCCGTGATTGCGTTTTAACCGACTCGTTAATTGTTTCAATTAAATTGCAAGAGAAGGGTAAGCTTTTGAACTGCAATCTCTTCTTTCTACTGCTGTTATTGGTTGCAGCACGAGGAGCTGGCGGAGCTCGAATGGCTCTCCAACTTCGTGGAAGAGTCCTTCTCCGGCGAAGACGTTCACAGACCTCAGCTCGTCTCCGGCACCAATCCTACCACCTCCTTGTCCTCCTACCCCGCCGCAGCTCCTGCCCAGCCTCCGCGCTTGCGCCCGGAGGCCCCTGTCCTCGCCAAGGCCAGGAGCAAGCGCTCCCGACCCGCTCCCTGCAGCTGGTCCTCCAGAGCGCTCGTGTTCTCGCCTTCGACGGCCACCGCCTCGTCGCCCGAGTTGGAGCTCATCAAGCCCCCGAGCGCCGTCCCGGGAAACAAGGCAAAGAAGCAGGCCTCGGCCGCCGTGGTTGGGTCGCCCCGGGAGGGGCAGAGGTGCCTCCACTGCCAGGCGGAGAAGACGCCGCAGTGGCGGGCGGGACCGATGGGGCCCAAGACGCTGTGCAACGCCTGCGGCGTCCGCTATAAATCGGGCCGCTTGGTGCCGGAGTACCGCCCAGCGGCCAGCCCCACTTTCGTGCCCTCCAAGCACTCCAACTCCCACCGGAAGGTGCTCGAACTACAACACCACAAGGAGCAGGAGCAGCCGCAGCCGCAGCAGCAGCTACTCCTGCACGACGGAGGTGCCGCCGCAGCCGGTGGCGACGGCTACTTGTACCGCCACGTGGGCCCCGACTTCCGACCGCTCACGTGACGATGTCAGAGAAATGAATTATTAGGGTTAATTTGATCAAGATAAGCTTTTGTATAGTTTCTTTGGCGACTCACCGCTCCTTTTCCCATTTATGCCGCTCTTCCGACTGCCATTTCTCTCCAACTCTCCCCCAAACAAAAAAACCAAAAAAATAAATTTTTAAACAGGAAAAATTCTTTAAAAAATGAAAATAATTTGAATTGTCGTTTCCTTGGGCGTGTTCATCGTTCACAATCATGCAGCGGTCAAGGCCGAGGAGTTAATTCTCAGATGAGTCACATGCGAGGGGATGGACGGGAGAAGCCCATAATTACGCATTGGAATGGGCGTTCTCGTGATCCCATGCACTCCACCATTCCCAGACTCTTAACGCCAACTCTGGCGTAGCTAACTACAACAAGTACTGGTCCGGATGAGGTCTTGCACGGCATGCTTTGCACGCACGTGCACGTGCATGGGCGATACATGGTCGGTTCACGGCCCATGATACGCACCTTGAGGTTGGTGCAGGCCCAGCCCAAGTCCATCCCCCGGTCCCGTGTTGACCGTTCAACATTTGTCCGACCGCCATTTATATTAATATGCGCCACGTGCGTAATCAAGTCACGCAGTTGGTTTCCACGCGCCAATCCATCCACGCGCTTACAAGGGAGACGACTCGAACCAACGCGTTCCTGCTGACACGTGTGCAATATACTTGGGTCCGTTTCAACGGGTCTCCCAACCGCAACGCTACGCGCGTTCGACCGTATCGGATACGTATTTTTGTACGTATGTATGCGCAGTGATACGACCACGCTTTGTGTCCGTCCTCGTCCACAGCCACAGACCCGTAGCTTCTTCCTTTTTCTCTCTCCCCTTTCTCTCCAGTGTCCCGATTCCCAAGGCATTTGGCGGTTCTTCACCGGACTCTCTCTTTCCTCGTCGAAACCCTAACCCAAAAATATCCGGGCCAGGAATCGATCCCGTTGTTTCTCTCGAAATCGATCGCGGCAGTCGCCGATTAGCGTCATTCGATCGAAGCTCCGAGACCTTCCGGCGCACTGATCCCGCCCGCTTGGGTTCCTGGAATCGTGGAAATCGAGTGTTTTTTTTTAGGCATGGGGTTGTGCAGATGAAGGATGCCGGAGCTCCGTAGCGGAGTTCGCAGGGGCCGGGCGCAGGCGAACCCAGTAGTCCAGGCTGATCGGCCGAACACGAGGCGGCGGCGGGCGGCGAGGAACCAGCAGCCGGTGGATGAGAACCCTCCCGTGACGAGGTCTGCTGAGCGGAGAGAGGAGATCAGGCTTGCGGAGGGCGGCGGCGAGGTTGGTGGACTCGTCGGGGAGGAGAATCTGGAAGGAGTTGGCGAGAGGAGGATGGATGAATGTGACAGTGGTGCAAGGAGCGCCGATAAGCTTCCCGGTGGAGAGGAGGAGGGGAGCACGGCTCCCCTTCCGGAAAAGGTTAGATCTTTTCTTTGTTTTCTTTAGTTTTCTACCGCCTTTCATGGCAAGTACTTTCTCTCTCTATCTACCTGTCTGTACTCTGTTTCTTTGTTTTTTGTTTTGATAACTGAAACAATTTTTAGTTTGTTATCGGTGATGGTAGAGTTATTTGACCTATTTTCCAAAGAAACAAGAACTTCTTCTGGATGCCTAAATTTAAACATCCGTTGCTATTGCTTGCTATGTTTTCGTATTATGTTATCACTATAGATATTGTTCGTCTTGGCATATCATGCAGTCTCTTATTTTACTTAGCACCTGCGATGAAAATGAAGTCTTCAAGCATGGCAAAATAAACAGAATACTAGGTTGAAATACTACTTGCAATTGAACAAGAAAATCGACACAGGAAGTGATGAGGAAAATAAGGAAGCTTCAGATAGAGAATCTTAATTTGAAATCTTGTTATATTACTAAATTCTATTCTTTTAGTCCAAACCATTTGCTGACTAAAATTATCCTGTTTTGTAGCTCATGGTGCAAGTGTTTCTTTATGGTTCTGTTGTCATCATTTTCTTGGCAATGTTGCAACCTACTCTGGGTACAACAGCATGATGCACTCAGGTGTACTTAAATCACAATTTGCCGCAAGGAGTAGTTGCCAAATTCTAGATTGGCCAAATTTCCATATGATTGTCCAAAATCATCCTGTCAAGTATTTCTATATGGTTGTGTTGCTATCATTTTCCTGAAAATAGTGCAATCTAGTCTGTTTACAATAGCACGACGCAGTTAGGTGTTCTTTAATTACAAATTGCCTCAAGGGGTAGTTGCCAAATTCTAGATTGGTCATGCTTCGTAATTTCATGAAAAAGTTTGTTCTTGTCAGTGATTCGGTTTGTCTTCTGTCACTGAACTGACCATTGTGTGATAAGCAGATTGTTCTTTTAACCATTCTCATTTGGTCAGATATCCATTACACCTGATCTTAAAAGGAAACATGGACATATAGATAGGACATCCCCAATACCTTATGAGCCCTAGCTACTCTAAGGTCAAGCAGAAAGCATAGAACCAAAGGCAAAATTTTGTTAAAAATCTTCTCATCATTCTTTATCCAAAGGATGATTCTAGATCTTTTCTTTATACACCAGGCATATCTTTAAGTATATGTTGATGTTTGGAACCTTCAAAATATTTTGCATGTTTTATGAAATTTGGATTTTGCGCTTTTAGATTATCTCTTCTAATATATTTGTTGACCATGAAGCATGACTACGAGACAAAAACATGCCAACATGACAAGTAGGCACCACAATGAAGATGCAAAAGAGTGTATATTACCACAATGTTATCTTGAAACAATGAACTTTACATATGCAATTATAATGTAATTTTATTTGTTACTGTTAATTTTTAGATTTTAAGTGTACCACAATTTTATAAGTAACAATAAATTGTTGAGATATGGGAATTGGTGGTTTCCAATCAAAGGGTGCAATTGGAGAGGGTCTAGGTTGCGCTAAACTTTTATCTTAAGGGAATTAAAGGTTTCTAATTAGTAGCTCCGTTAGGGAGCATACTCACCAATTCAGAATCCTATTGAGCATGCCACACATGTTTCCCTCTCTCTTTCTCTCTCTGGTCCTCAAACTTGTGCCAATTAGTGCTTCTGCAAAGCATCATCCAGCTTCCTGAAGCTATAGTTCTTTCCTCACGGTTGTCATTCTCCTTTTCCAACTTCTTCTCTGACTCCGGATGCTGGTAGTTGATGGTGGCGGAGACTGCTGCTACTTGCCAATGCTCCACTTCTCTTTCCTTCTATATTGTTCAAACATGTGATGGTCATGTATCTGATTATACCTGTGTTGGACATTTATCCAGTGTGTATCCTAGTTAGATGCGTTGAACATTGACAGTCTTATCAAAATTCTGGTGCCTAGCTGTTGAACTTCATGACTACCCTTAGTCATTTGCTTTAGTCCTGGCATCAAAGTCTTAATGACTATTGTGTAAGTATTAAACGAGATTTTGGCTCTCATACAGTCTTTAACAATCATTGGCATGGAAGTTATGGTTGCCACTCTCAGTAAATTGAAAATTAGTTTTTGTGCTTGGTGTTACATTGTAGTCAGTTGTTTTTTTTGTCGAAAATAAAGGATTCTATTGATTTAAGGCTGAGCTACAAAATGAGAAGCTGAAGGATCAGCAGATGAAAACAAAATTGAGTGGGCTGCAATCTGCCAAAATTTGCCAAGTTATGACTTACAAGATTGTCGGACCTGGGTATATGTTGAATATGGGTAACAAGAGAGTCAAAAAGCAGGAATATATCCTGAAACAGATTTGTCAAACTCCAGGGAATAGGAGTGATTCCCTTAGCCATATTGACAACTTCCATTGAATTGGAGTTGATCTCAATAGAAGAAAGATGCAGTTCTTTGGTTGTAGTAAGGCCATTCAAGAGAGCAAGGGTTTCAGCCATAAGGGGACTTGAAACTTTGCAGCAACTACCCCCCATCCAAAGATGTTCATTTCCGGCAGATTCGAGCAGGAAACCAGTACCTGCAGATTCAAGTGGGGGCACAAATGAACCATCAATCTGAAGACTATAGGAGCAACTTACCTGTGTCTCCTCAGAAACATCCCTCATGTCCTCCACAGTTCCCTCGGGACTTGGGGACAGATTAATGAAGTCATTAGCAGTGATTAAAGCTCTCATAGAGAGCATGGAAGGCCTGGTTGAATGGTTGTTGTGTTTGGCATCACTTTGGTTGATCCAAAGGAATCAGACGGAGGTGGCAATGCTGCTAAGCAGATTGGAGCCTTCTAAAGGCCAATCTCCCTGCTAGTCAGTACTTACTTCAGCATTTTATAACTTCATTTTCAGACAGGTCTTTAGTACAGTGTTGTGAAATAAAAAACTGGTGCTGTAATTTCATTCTTCAAACTAGCTTATACTCTTCAATCTTCATACTAAATTTGAAATCAGTTTCTGGAACATAATGGACAAGTTCTGCCTTGAAAACATCATTTTCTGAAACATGCTGATATGGTGTCTGGTTATATTTTTAGTATGCTCTTTTCTTTTGAAAAAATGTAGACTTTCATATGGTACAATTTCTGGCATCTAATTTTTTCATATGAAAACACAAGATTTGTTACATATTTTGAGGTTTTAGAATTTTTTAGATTTTAGTGATTAAAGTTGCTTTGCCGCCTACTTTTATGTGCAAGAGTTTGTATTTATAACTATTTATTGTATTTGACTGCGACAGGTCCAAGTTGGAAATTCACCGGTGTACAGAATTGAAAGAAAACTAGGGAAAGGAGGATTTGGGCAAGTATATGTAGGACGGCGGATTTCTGCTACTAATGCAAATGATAGAATTACTGGTTCTGGTGCTGTAGAGGTATGGCAACTTCATTTTCTTCAGTTGGATATAAAGTGAAGGTGGAACATTAAAATATGGTAGCATTTCTTGTATGTCAGGTAGCACTGAAGTTTGAGCACAGGAGCAGTAAAGGTTGCAATTATGGGCCACCTTATGAATGGCAAGTGTACAAGTAAGTTCTGTTTGTTTTTGCTTAAACTAGAGTTTGAACCATGTTTTAAATGTCTGACCAACATGGTGTTCA